GAGTTAAAAATGATTTAATTAAGCGTTATACAGTTTATATAGATTTAATTTAGCAATTAAGCTTGATCGTATGCCATACAGATAGCCTTCACTAACATAATAACTTAAAATATGACATAATTTTTCAATTATTTTAACCAATTATAATAGTTCCATCAAAGATTAGAAGTATTAATATTAAAACTCAAGTTATATATTTTGGTTAATTAAATTAGACAAGTCATATTCAAAATTGAAATTTTGAATTATATTGATTACTAACAAATAGCAAAGTTTTAATTTAAATAAGCCAATTCATTTATATAAAGCTTAATATTATCCAATAAATAAAATAATTAATTTGCATTAATATAAAAGATTTAATTGCAATTCATTTATAAAAATATTCGGTTAGCATGGGTTATCTGTAACAACAAATTGACGATTAATTACTAAAAATAAACTCAAATTTGCCATAATATAATCTTCAAAATTTTAATCATTTATTTAATGTATTGATTTAGCGGTATGCTTTAACATCATATTTTATATTATAGAAATTAAATAATATCATAATATAGTATAATTAATATGTTTATTATTATTTTATTAGTATAGAAATTATTTATTCATTTAAACAGTTTTTGTTCTTATCACTAATAAAGAGGGCATTTTGTCTCTCTATGCTTCGAACCTTTGCAGGGTCGTACATCATTTTCTTAATGTAAGCAGAGGTCATAGGTTCAGTAATTGGTTCTAAATCGCACTTTAAGCTTAAAGTAGAAACGTTCATAGTGTTGGAGGCTATAATGTCTTTGAATATGTAAGCTTTAGCGTGTAAATCTTCTGCTCCATTGCTCACAGGCTGACCATTAGTACTTTTTAGAGGTACATAGGGCTCAGGCTTAATTTCTGGCAAACTCATTCTATTATCAATGGTAGCAGATTTGCTTCTACTAAAGTTTTCTTCTAAATAACCGTAGCACAATCTAGAAATATCGAATGTATCTTTCATAGTAGCGTTATATCCTGGCAAGGGTGTATTATTATCTAAGGGCCAGTCATATTTGAATTCAGGGTGTCGTACTTGTCTGTCATACCACACTTTATCCATAAAGGCGTGGTGCGAGTAAAAGAGGGGGTCATTACAGCTTGCATGGTCTGCAAAATCGAGACCTAATCCATTATGGACTCTAGCATGAGGGCCATACTCAAAGCGATCCGCAAAAACATCGCTACTGGGAGCGTCTATAATTTTAGAATCTATAAAATCTCTATCCGTTGAAAAAACTTTAGCTATATAACTCATTCGAGTAAAGCAATGAGGTTGCCCATTATATCTTGGATCTGCGAAGTAATAAACCTGAAAATTAGCAAATTGCCCTGTTGTAACGCAATTTCCCCTATAATAATTCCCTTCCTTGCCAAACCACTGCCAAATAGGATCCTTTGTCATATCGCTATAGTGAGCTGTCCAATCCCAGTACGGGATCCTAATACTTGGATCTATCTTTCTCAATCCAACCTCCAAC